GTTGGGAGCACACACGCACATACTTTGGAAGATCTTTCCGATGTAGGGCCGCCACCCATTCCCGCTTCACTTCCTCGTCCGAGGGTAATTTGTGTAGGCTATATGGAACACAACACGGACAGTCTTCGTGAATAATTCCATGACCCTCGCACATCGCCTTTTTCCAATCATGTAATTTTTTACGGTTGTGGGAGCACCCAACAACAGCGCACGCTTCGCCGCCTCCTCGCTTGTACATCTTTGTCACGTTTGATCACTGTTGCAATGGCGGATAGGTCACGTGATCAATATGGCCGCGCCTACTCGCTGTGACGTAATAATGAAAAAAGTCGTATATCCATACTTTCAAAAATGTCAATTATTTCGTTCATATTCTCAACAAATGGAAATCAAAAGCTGATGAAATTTTAAATGATCTCAATTTGAAGATATCTCCCGGTAGAACAACAGAACCGGGTTGATGATAAAAAAGATCTTCAGAAAATATCCGAATTTTTACTTTTTGTGCCTGTGGAAAAAACTGAAATAAAATAAAAAGTCTTGAAGCACCGACAAAGAGATAAATGTAACGGACATCAGTTCTAGTATTTTCCGGTTATTATTCTTCTTGCCCGGAATAACCGATGAAGGCCGATAGATTGTGACTTGCTTGTGACGTCATAGCATGATACTCTCTGAACGAAGTTTCATGCCTGTTAGTATCACATTTTATGTGATAAACCTTTTTCACTCAGAATGTATATGATTTTTTTATCGAAATAAACAAGTTGTCTTTGCTTCATACATTTCCTGTTTCCCCACTGGACGTCTACTTCCGGACGAAAAACAATAGAGGCAAAGTGTAGAAAGGGGAAGCAACTCCGTATAGGCACGAAAATGCTACCATTAAAAAGCTTCGCTCGGGCGCCTATTAGTTTATTAGTATAATTAAATTGCTGGTTTCACGTTCAGCATTTGGTTTTCGGTTAGCATATATACAGAGTAGTTGTTACCCCTCTTTGTGCATTGTTGGTTAGGATGCCCCATCATGTGGTGTTTGAACATATGACAATCAAGAAATCACTATTAGTCAGTGATTATGTTTCTTTTCTTAAACAATTACTGCGAAAATGATACAGCTATCGTTACCGGAGAAACGATTTTAGCGTCACACATGATTAATCGATTCTGTAAATCTGTACAGATTTTATTGTTTGCTATTTATGTCATACAGTATGGGGTATTTATGTTTAATAGTCTTTACCTGTAAATGTTGTATGACAAAAACCTATGGATGCGTCATTTTAGAATTGCTTGTTTTGTTTCATTCTCCAGTCATTTACCACTCCGCAATACTTACGGAAGAGGTACGGAGGGAAGCGACTCAGGATCTTTTCATCTATCATGTCCCTGGTCGGGTACATCCTCTTCAATATCTCGGTATGTAATATTTACATGATAGTGAATTTGCCTTTCATGTCTGTGGTCGGGAATATCCTCTTCAATATCTCGATTACTTATATTTAAATTTTTAAATCCGGGTGACCTCGTCTATCATATCTCTGGTCGGGTACATTCTTTTCAATATTTCAATAAGTAGAAATTACAACAGAAAGCACTCGTCAAGCAGGTCACTGATCAGGAACATTCTCTTCAACATCGCGGTATGTAAGTAAAAACATCCACCATGGCTCCGGACGGGTACATCCTCTTCAATATCTCGATAAATACTATTTTCTTATGGGTGTAATCTGTGTCCTTTTTGCCATTTCTTCTTCTGTGTAAACCTACCTATAATCATATCCCACTCATTGACATTGCCAATATATGATCGTTATTTACGTATTACTCCCACTTCTTTACAATCAGAAATTATTGTCATTTTCCATTATCACTTTAGATCGAAATCTTCACTGGAGCAATGTTTCTGCAGCAAATCCTAGGGTGGAATCTTTACCTCAGTGTGGTTATCATACTGACTGTGACAGCAGTTTACACCATTGTTGGTAATTATAACATATCCTCATATATTAATTTCTTATTTGCCGGAAACAGCATTTGTTGCTAAATACAATGTACCATTGCCGCACTTTATCACACTCGTTGTTCTTTTAATGAAATAGTTACGTAAAAGAATGGAAGACCTAACAGTGTCAGAAAAGAAAAAAATCGAAATACACCGTCAACTTTAAAGGACAGAGGTCATGGTACATCAAACTCAAGCTGCTGTGCTGAGTGCCTTCGGCTTTATTATATTTCAGTAAAGTCTACGCCGTCGCTGGAGGGTCGGGTACACCAACACCACGCCTGCAGCACATGGGGGTGGGGGTGGGGGTGGTGGTGGGTGGGGGATCGGGTACACCAACACCACGCCTGCAGCACATGGGGGGGGGGTTGGGGTGGGGGGTTGGGTGCGGGGTCAGTTACACCAACACCACGCCTGCGGCACACATTCACACATGCACGCATATGTTACACCTTCTAATATAATAGGACGTTACAATTTATAAACTTACCTAACAGAACGAAGGATATCAACACTCGTTTGTTTTCAATTAAAACTAAATGAATCTTTATATGCTTACATAAGATAACACGAAGGTGAAATGCCACTTTGGAACAATCTCAAACACAACTAATGTAACAACTACAAAGATAAGTTCGGAAGTGTACCGAGTATAAAGTAAGACAGTGCCTTATAGCGGACATTAAGTTAAATAGGATGTGTGTTCATGCATATTGAGATTCAAATTTGTATGCGATGGCATGGTTTTGATTAGATACATGTAATTTGAAATAAAGTTGTACATGTACTTTAAGCACTTCAAACGTGTCACAACATTTCAAGACCGACGGTCCCTTTTTCAAGCTATGACTGAGTGAGCGATTTGTATTGTAATCATAAACATGACACGAGGGGGGACACCAGCTGAGTCATCTGTATGACCCGATATGACCTGGCGGAAGGGGGAGGAGGTTAGATATATACCACACCAGTAACCTATTCGACACAGTGCGATACAATCTCTATCGATAGGCGAAACATCCCGGATCGACTGACATATGAAATATACAATTTCGTCACATTGTTGTTACAGTTAACAATACAAGTCGCTCACGCAGTCATAGCTTGACAAAGGGACCCGTTTCAGTTATCATATCACTATGTTTTGAGTACAATTCTGATACCCTTAGGCTTGATACATGTATAGATGATTACAGGTTTTTCCATGACGAAACGACATTTTTGAAATATAGGGAGCATTACTTAAAACTGTAAAATGTTATATTAACAAGAGAAACGTTTGATACACATATACACCTTTTGAAATATTGCAATAAACTATGTTATTTACATATCATCAATAGAAGCGTTACTAAAGACTGTATAAATAACATATCAACAAAGGTAGGCATTATCATTAATCGTATAATTAAGTTCACCAAACGATTCTTCTTCCGGTTGCACCGTGAAATTTTCCGACGCATTCCTTACCCGATCGGTCAACCAAGATGGCCACCACGGCCTTTGATTGGTCAAAATGAGATATTGGTCGATTTTTGTCAAATTTGGTATGTAGGTGTATTTTTTGGCGACTATGGGGGCAGTTTGGGGGACCTCAGTAATGGTCTTCCATTACAATTAATACTTGTTACATATAAATATTTAGAACCATTATTATAAACTGCAAAATGTGCATACAGTTTAATGATTACTAAAGACTGTATAATGTACATACAATTTAATGATTACCATAGACTATAGACATTAAATACACATGCCTATATACCAGAAAAATACAATGTGATATGAATTCATCTCATTGATAGATAATCGACCAATACGCCAATTGTTAGTGGACGCACCTTCAGGACATAACCTTTGTTTGTAATTTTGACAAATAGACGGCACCTAGTTACGATGATCGCCCTTTGGTTACACTCGCAGCTACATATAAATGATGTACTAACGCAATATTGTATCTTCCTTTGTTTTCTTTTACAGGTGGTCTCACTGCAGTTATCTACACTGACACGTTACAGGCAGTTGTACTTATCATTGGCGCTACAATTCTCTTTATTACATGTAAGTTTTTGCCACAATACATCAACGAGGCCATGCATTAGGATATCAAACAACATTGCTTTCTGTGTCAATTTAAAGAATTAACGTTTATTGTTGTTGTGTTGTTTTTAGCGTGGGTAGATGTTGGCGGATGGGGCGCAATACACGACCAGTTCATGACGGCAGCGGCAAACTACACACTGACCAATACCTCGGTATACTCATGTGGCCTACCCCGAAATGATTCGTTCAGTATTGTTCGTGATGCCGTCACGGGAGATATCCCCTGGCCAGGTGCTCTTTTGGGACTATCAACCATGGGCATGTATGTCTGGAGTCAAGATCAGGTAACTCCCGCAGTCTAATATTATATAAATATCACATTCATGAGAGGGCGGTATTGCATATTTTCAACCCAAGAAAGCATTGTTAACCGAGGCGAAGCCGAGGTCAACAATGTTTTCCGAGGGGTGAAAATATGCAATATCGCCCTCTCATGAATGTGATTTTTATTTTATTATACCGAGTGTCATGTTTAGGTGTTTCACCACTTCACCATTTGTAAAGGTCCTTGTGTTGATTTGACATAAACGAAGACTTCATCTCAACAGTTGTCGAATGAACCAACCATGAATGTGATTTGATAACACCCTGGCGCTGGGACAAAATGTGCACGCATACGTTTGGCGCATGTGATGTTTTTTGGAATGTCACCCTGTCTTCTTTGTCTTTGTAAAACGAGCAAGTAATATTGAAAATGTTCACGTCTTTCTCAACCAATCAGATTACGAGATTTTAACAGAAGGTATGATAATGACATATACTTCTTGGGAGAGTATTGAATAGGGACCGTAATATACGACATGACTATTTGTGATTCTAACACGATTCGTTTGCAACGCGTGTTTTGATTGGATACGGACCATGTTCTAATCTGCAATAGGATCAGGATCAATCGTGTTAAGCTCCTCCCATTGCACTTAAGCCACGCCCCGTTTCAAACCAAAACAATATGACGTTAAGATCGCCTCTTAGCGAAATCCCGCTAATAAGGCTAGTAGGCAACAGAACAGAAACGACCGATGAAATGTATTTATTGAATGAATTAAAAAGTAAAAAGTACACATTCCTTGTTATTACCTGTAGTGTTAACTGTTAAGGCTGCACGAGTTGCGCCCCTTTACTTGCATTAAGGCATTGGTAATCAATCGCACCTATGGGAAGTGGGGATGTCTCTTCCGGTCTAGACATGGATTAGATGGTTTGAGTTTACGCATGGTGTTATAGTAATCGTGTTAATACTATATGATAGACACTTCATCTGGCGACGAGGAAATACTTTAAAGAATCCGAAAGAGATCAAGAAGGAGAATCCATGAATATTTCGCGTAAAATATCAAAGCCATGGCCACAATCGAACGAAACGGAATGTGCCCATTTGATGCACATGGGGAGTCAACAAAGACAAACTAAGCCTGGAAACGGTGGCTCAGAAGTTTTGAACAGTTTGCCGTAGGCAAGGGAGTAAAAGACAACGAACAGAAACGTGTACTTCTCTTACACTGTGCAGGTCAAGATGTACAAAAAAATATTTTCACGTTGCTGGAGGGTGAAGGAGACAATCCGTATGTGAAGGAGCGAGCCGCGCTGAATGCCCATTTTCTGTCAAAAATAAATGTGCCATATGAAAGGTATAATTTTAGAACAATGAGGCAGGAAGAAAATGAAACTGTAGAACGTTTTGTAACCAAATTACGCCAACAGTCAGTCTTGTGTTAATTCGACAAACCAGAGGAATAAATTCGAGATCAAGTCATCGAAAAGTCCCACAAATTGAGACAACGTCTCCTGGAAAAAGGACACGAATTAACATTAGACCAGCTGCGCACTGTGGGAAGTACGTTGGAACAATCAGGAACACAGAATAAAAAATTGGAGACTCATCACGGAGCCAGTGTTAATCAAGTGAGTTCGTCACATACCGCGAAACAGGGTACCGCGAAACGTGCTACACATGAACATAAGCCGACAACTGGTATGAGATGTTACAGATGTGACAACGAGGGACACTTAGCGCGTAATCCCCAGTGTCCGGCAAAGACCAAGAAATGTGGTGACTGTGGGAAGGTAGTACACTTTGCAAAATGTTGTAGGAGTAAATCATCTTCATCTGGGCAGTCTGAGAAGCGTAGTAGCTCATATTCACAGAGGAAAAGTGGGCCGCGGAAAGGAAACGTGCGTTCTGTGGAAACCGATCAGAGAGAATACACGTTCAATGTCAGTCGGAGATCCAAGTCCGAGAAATTCCGACTACTGGTAGACAAGCAGGATGTTGACTTTATCGTTGATAGTGGTGATACCGTGAACATCATTGACCGAAAGTCCTTGGAACGATTGAAACAGAACCACATCACATGTCAGTCAGAGAAGACAAACACCAAGTTGTTTACCTATGGGTCCGATACACCATTAAAGCTTATCGGGATATTCTGTCCATGTACCTGAGACTGACAATGCGACCGAAACCGAGATCTACGTAATGAATGGATCTGGGCCAGCATTGCTTGGAGAGAAACCGCCACAGAGCTTGGACTGTTGAAAGTCGGTGTCAATTCGACAACTGATGATCTAGTGAACATATACGCGTCATGTTTCGAGGGCATAGGCAAATTAAAAGACTACCAGCTAAAGTTACACGTGGACGAGAGCTTGCAACCGGTGACACAAGAAACCGACACCATAAGTCAGTACTTGTATTGTCGTGCCTAAATCCGACGGTGACATTCGTCTTTGTGTTGATATGAGGCAGGCGAACAAGGCAACTATCCGGGAAAGACATCCTATTCCGACCGTAGACGAGATCATGTATAACATGAACGGTAGCAAGGTGTTTAGCAAGTTAAATCTTCAGTATGGGTATCACCAGATCGAGTTGGAGGAAAACGCAAGGGACATTACTACGTGTGTTACCCACAAGGGTCTGTACTGCTATAAGAGACTCATGTTTGGGATCAGCTCCGCACCTGAAAAGTACCAACAGGTCATTTCACAAGTATTCCACAACTGTGAAGGAGTACAGAATATCTCCGACGATATCGTGGTACACGCGAAAAACAAGGAGGAACATGACTGTCGACTCGCGAAAGTGTTCGAAAGGATCGATGAGAACAATTTGACATTGAATCGTCAGAAATGCCAGTTAGGGATGGACCAAATTCAGTTCATGGGACATATGGTTTCAACTGACGGCATAGGGCCAACAGCCGACCGAGTGAAAGCGAATGTTGAGGCGAAACCTCCGAAATCAGGATCCGAGATACGAAGTTTCTTAGGATTGGTCAACTTCAGTGCCAGATATATTCCAGACCTGGCTACTGTATCAGAACCGTTACGGAAACTCACGATAAAATGTGTTGTGTACACCTGGGGACGTGAGCAACAGGACAGTTTTGAGAAACTAAAAGAGAGTCAGTCTAGAGCAGAGACATTAGGACATTTCAGACTTAATGCTAGCAAGACAACAGTTGAGACAGACGCTAGTAATGTGGGCTTAGGGGCTGTGCTAATTCAGTCAAATGAAGGACGCTAACAGGTAATCAGCTATGCCAAAAAAGCGTTGACAGATGTGGAGAAATGGTACTCTACAACGGAGAAAGAAGCGCTCGCTGTTGTATGGGCTTGTGAGAAGTTTCGATCATATCTCCATGGAGTCGCGTTTGAGTTAATTACCGACTAAAACCGCTCGGGTGTTGTATGGACTGAGGTCAAAGCACAAAGCGAGGATTGAACGATGGATCATGAAGTTGATGCCATACAATTTCAAAGTTGTCTACGCGCCCGGGAAAAACAATATCGCAGACACGTTATCAAGGTTAGCTGGAGCCTGACACTGAGGACTTTGTCAAGGGAGGCAACTCCGATAGCTTTGTCGACTAGCGAAGTCGAGGAGATATCCACAGTAGACGAGTAACTATCCAACGTGAGAGAGTGCCTAGCGTCACGGAGATGGGACAAGTCATGCCCATTATATTACCTTGTCGGGGAGGAACTCAGTCAGATTGGTTACCTGGTGTTAAGAGGAACCCGGTTAGTAATTCCGACAGCGTTACGTAGGAAATGTGTGGAATTGGCTCACCAAGGACATCTTGGTATCGTGGGAACAAAACAACAACTCCTAACTAAAGTGTGGAGCCCACACATGGACAAGGACTTTGAGAAATGCGTCGTTGACAGTACGACGCACCCAGAGCCAGTGACACCTACACCATTGCCAACAGAACCTTGGTAAGATCTCGCGATCGATCTCATGGGACCGCTCCCAACCGGACATTATGTGTTTGTTGTGGTTGATTACTACAGCAGATACTATGAACTTGAAGTCACTAAGGACACATCGACAGGAAAGGTGATTGACGTGACAATGTTTAGTCGCTATGGGTTACCATGTTCGGTCACGTCTGACACTGGACCCCAGTACAAATCCGACATGTTTCGAGAGTACATGGAGGAGAATGGTATATATCACCACCGGGTGACGCCATTGCATCCAGCCGCGAATGGAGAAGTCGGTCTCTACTGAAGCGGATTAAAAATGTACATGCAGAGGCAAAAGATTGGAAAAATGAACTCCGGGCGTATCTTCTGGCCTATCGGACAACGCCACACGCTACGACAGGATTATCGCCAGCCGAGTTGATGTGGGGTAGGAAGTTACGGACAAAACTACCGCAAGTAGAACAGTTAGGGCGGCATGTCGATGAAGGTGTTCGCGACAGAAACAGCGAAACGAAATACAAAAACAAATTGTACATTGACCAGAAACGAGGAGCTGTTGAGTCAGAATTGGAAGTTGGAGACACCGTGTTGTTAAAACAGAGACGACAGGACAAATTTAGTACACCGTTTAACCCAAACCCGTTCAAACTAGTCGAAAAGGTGGGAAATAGTTGTACGGTGGAGTCTCCGCAAGGAATTCGATACAAGCGAAACAGCAGTTTTGTGAAAATGTACAATACACCGCAGAAACCAGTCGAGACTCGGCCCAGGATAATGGACGCAAATGAGTAGCAACCGACTGTAGAGAGTACGCCGACGTACACACCAGATACTACTGTGCGCGAGACGGACACTCCGATCAGCGAAATAGACACGCCAACTGTGGCAAAGAGTACGAGACCGATCCGCCAAAGGATGCGACCGAAGAGACTCGACGATTTCGTTACCGACTAATCGCGAACATTATTTCGCGTTAACTTTAACTTTAATTCCGTGAGAACTTTGTTCGAATAGTGTTGGGATTCCATAATTTTCAGTTATTATTATGCGAAACACTCGCATATGTTTTCCTACCATAGAGTTAGGTAACTAGTAATGTGTTTTCAGAAAGACCTTTAAAATGGACATTGCCAAATGTTTTATGAGTTAATTTCTCAGAAATATCCATTACGCAATGTTTAATGTTACATTATGAATAATAAATTAACAATGACTATTGCATAATACGTGATAACATGTTTAAGCGTTCAAAGTATTTAGAACACTTTTATTGAAATTTACTAATTTTCAAGTCTAAGTAAGAGGAGAGTTGTAGTGGTAACTGTTAAGGCTGCACGAGTTGCGCCCACTTTACTTGCAATACGACATTGGTAATCGAACGCACCTATGGGAAGTGGAGATGTCACTTCCGGTTTAGACATGGATTAAATGGTTTGAGTTTACGCATGGTGTTATAGTAATCGTGTTACTACTATATGATAGACACTTCATTACCTCCATTTATTACTGAAACGTTCGTTCATCCATGTGCAGGCATCTATTTAGATCCGAAATCAAATGAAACATTTCACATTTCACAAATCTATCGGTCTCGAGTTCAAACCGAAATTCCATGTTCTAATCGCCAGTATAGCCACTCAAAACAACGTACTATCCCCTAAATAGTGTCAGTAGGGATCGAATTTGCTAACGCTGGTAGTATACCATGGGTCCTCTATCTACTCCTTATACTTATTCTATAAAAGCTGCTCTGCCGCTATGACGGACTTAGTAATTAGGCATTTATTCAAATTCATCTTCATACTCAATAAACATTAGCATAGTAATGCACATCATTCCTCTCAAACATTCCCTCTAACGGGCCATCGCTATATACTGTAAACCAAGCGCGCCACCCAAGCTGGACTGAAAAACAGCAGGAGGTGCACCAGACCCGACAATTCTTAAGGTTTTTGTGATGCTGGGATCTCTGACACATAAGCACGATGGCCATACATTTATTCAAAATATCAATACCCCATCCCATTGAGAATTACCTATCAATTATATAATGGAATTTATAACATTTCAACGTGTCCGTCCGGCGTTCAAAACTAGAATGAACCCTCTTCACCTGTCCGTGGCCTACCTGCCACGCGTACTTCAATCCCATTGGTCTAAAACCTCACGTACATGTATACTCCGTGGATGCAGGACACTTATTTCCCGCTATTCTCCGAAACGTGGGAAATATGAAATATCTACGTCATATGCCATGAGTATGTAATTACCGTAGTACAATTTTGATCTGTACTTTTGTTTCAAGCAGGTTTTGAAGAAAACATGTTGATGCTATTTTTAGTTTTGTATATATATCTACAAGTAATGTTGTGTATAGTGTATCTCCATCCCAGGACTTGTTTATTTCGTCATATTTTGTCTTCTATTTAACTCGTGTATCACATAGCGCTCCACTAGTTAGAATATGCAAATGTCTTGTGGGATAATTGCACTGAGAAATCTAAACAGGCATTAGAGTCTCTTTATTTGGAAGCTGCAAGAATTATAATGGGATTCCATAGAGGTACCTCCCATAATGAATTATATAAAAAAAAAATGCTTGGGAATGGCTCTCTGATAGGCGTCAGAAACATAAACCCGCATGTATCCACAATACTTGAAAAATATTGTACAACCATTTTTATATCGCAATGAAAACGAAAGATATCCACTAAGGATGACTCGATATTTTAATATTTCTATATGTAGAACAGCAAGCTATTATAGCAGCTATTTTTCTAGTACATTTAGGGAATTTAAGTATCTTGCTCTGAATTTTGACTTATCCAATATAAATTATCTTGCACAAATACCTTTGTAAACGATGGTTGTCGAAATATAAATATTATTTAGCCAGCAACCTGAACTCTGACCTATATCGTGATCATTTGAGAGATTCCCCGACATGTCCTTGTAACCTCGGAGATGAAACAGCGGAACACTTCTTCCTTATATGTCCAATATTCAACGAATCAAGATCAAAACTCAGAAACCAACTTACTAACCCTATTATTTCTCATGATCATTTTAATACCAGAACCTTATTACACGGTTGTCATGATTGTGATCAAGAAACAAATTGATATTTATTCCAAAGTATATCAAAATGCATTACAGAAACTGGCAGATTTGATTGAAGTACCTAAAGTTTGTTCGATTGAGCGGGGAGATACACTATATTTATTGTTTATATGTTTTGTTGAAATAACTGTACCATACCGGAATTGTTTGGAGATGGCTTACACATAGGCTTTGCCTGATGCCAAATCCATTTGCTTCTTTTGCAATAGAATTTGTTGAAATAAAACAATATGTCCTTTTTGTGTCAGGAGCAAATACCTCTTGCTGTTGTCTGTATCTGATAGATGCGTTGTGCTTGTCTAAGATGATAACAGGAGACGTAACCTCATTTCCTAAACAAAACTAAATTGAATCTTGTTTATTTATCACAACAGTATTCCAATTAAAGTGATTTGAAATACCTGAAAACTTACACAAATGTTTGGTTTGAATGTCATTTGTATACATTGTAAATTTCACTTTCGTCATTCAATTGTTCCATTCAATATAAATATCAGTAATATTGTCTGGATATATATGAAAATGATTAATACAGAACATAGTTTAGAGTTATTACATCAGATTATTCTTATTTTCCACAGCTTATGGTACAAAGATGTTTGTCGGCCAAGAACTTGAACCACGCCAAAGGAGGAGCATTACTGGGGGGTTTCCTCAAACTTACCTCTTTCCTTCTGTTCGTAATCCCCGGGATGGTCAGCCGGATAAAATTCCCAGGTACAGAATGAAATATCTTATACTTTATATAAGTAAAGATGGCACAAATTTACAGAAAAAAGTATGTGAGCACAATTTTACAATTCAGTTAAATAAACGTGGAATATGAAGTGGTATGTACAATGGCGGGAAACCTTAAATTCTCATAAAACGGTAAAAATCCTTTTTGATTCAATCTTAATTATAACAACATATACATTTGTTGATATGTTTATGTAATTATTGTGGGGTTTTTTCAAATCTTCTTTACAGAGGAAGTTGCGTGTGCAGACCCCGACAAATGCTTCGAAATTTGTCAGAATAGAGCTGGTTGTACAAATCTGGCCTACCCTCTGCTTGTCCTACGTATTCTACCAGAGGGTTTGTACATAACAATACAATAACAACGTTACCCTAACAAAGCAATTCAGAATTTTCAAATAGATACTTAAGAAGTAGAAATGTGGTTGAACTGCCAATGGATTTATACTCAATTTAAACAAAAGTACATTCATGGATTTTTTTAGATTGCAAATAGAGTAAGTTTAACAAGAATACAATTATTTCCATTTGTTTTTAAGTTTTAATTTACCTTTTTGAGGTATTCGGGGCCTGATGTTGGCTGCGTTACTAGCGGCGTTGACTAGCTCTCTGACGTCGATATTGAACAGTGCCAGTTCGATAATTACGTTAGACGTATGGCGCATGTACAGGAAGAATGCTAAGGAAACGGAACTGATGATAGTGGGTAGAGTTACGGTGCTGATCCTCGTCGTCACCAGTATCCTGTGGTTACCAGTCATGGAGAAGGTCCAGGGAGGACAGTTCTGGTCATACATGCAGTCCATCAGAAGTTACATCACTCCTCCATGGTGTATATTATTTCTCCTGGGAATATTCTGGAAACGTTCAACAGAACCGGTAAGACATGTCTTGAGACGATACCTTCTTGTTTGCAAACATACATATTAAGTCACGACTGTACTGGTCTACACTCTCCCAAAAGATCATAACTTGAATCAGTAATTAATCAAACACCGTAACACTTTCCCCTGATTCATCAATCCAGGCCGTCGGGGAAGTCTAGTGCATTTGATAGCGTTTCAAGCCTATTGATTTGGTAATTGTGGGTTTGATTTAGATCATCAGGAGTAATTTATACAATATTATTAGTTACAAAAGATTTAGGCTGATCACGTGGGCTCACATTAACTCCTCAGTACTAACGCTTGTATATCTCTTTTGTCATAATTCAAACCAAAGGTCAGATTGGTACGTATGTCTTCAGTAGTTGGTAATCCTTGTGATTATTTCTCAATATCCTCATTCTTATAACGAATGAATGTTTTTTTCCGTCTAGCAGATGAGGTTATGTCCTCCCGTGTTAAGATAGTCTAAGTAAGTGAATCACGTTTTATATCTTACTTTATATTGTAGTGTTACTATGAAGTCTGGTACATTTCTGTGATAGTGTTTTATCATTACAGGGCGTGTTCTTGGGTCTGGTTATATGTCAGGTGATTGGGGTCATTAGAATGGTCTTGGACTTCATATACATTCCGCCGAACTGTGGCAGCGGTGAACCGAGTACCAGGCCCGACATCGTCAGTAAAGTCGACTTTCTCCACTTCGCCACCATCTTGTCTGTCATCACTACCATTGTGATGGTTGTTTTAAGCCTTCTGACCGAACCAAGACCAGAACGGAAGGTAGCATCCGCTTTCGGTTATTGTATAATCATTATTGATGGTTTTTGAAACACAAATACACGATTTCGGGTATACACATATTTAGGGAACCTTTTGATCTAATCGGGAACTTTAACATTTCTATTGAAAGGAGACATATTGCAGATTTTTTTTATTTTTTTTCTCATTTAGTGTCTAATCATTCGCCTCCAGTATTTACCTGTAATTAAGGTGTTAATAACAAGCACGTAACGGACAGAAAGGAAAAGTTGTATAGAATTTACAAAGATCGACAATACATATAATAAGAAAATTTGTCTTTAAAACACAACGCTGTGAACACTTAATGTTCATCTTTTAGCTTCGCCGCGTGACGTTTTGGACAAGAAATGATCCCTTAGAACCGGAACTCGACTCGGAAGATGATGAAATGAGGGAAGAGGAAGAGGAAGAAGAAGAAAAAGAGGAGGCATTAAAGGAGGAAACAGAAGAAACATCAGGTCAACATTCACTGTTTTATACCGTTGACATGCATTGTCTTCCAGGGTATTATTCCTTATGTAACAACGGTAATACCATACAGCTTCATCATATCAGATACTGGTAATGGTGTTTGACACAGTACAAAATTAATTAGTGCAGATGTCCCTTTTCCATTGTACTTAACGTTATAAATCTACAGTTACTCGTCTGGCTTGTGTAGTTATAGGCGTGTTTTTTTACTTTCAATTACCGAAAGGTTGCAAAAGCTGCAAAACATCCACTTAAAATAGCTCATCATTAAAAGATCTTGTTAAGCAGTGATATGTAAGTATACAAAAGTATTACTCATGTATTTTGGAAATGTGTATTTGATTTTGTATAACAATTTACATTGCAGGTGCTGTAGGGGACTTAAAAAAGTACTGCTACAACTGGGTGTGTGGGACAACAGATCAACCCGAACGGAAACTAACGTCAGAACAGAAACGTGCTCTCAGGGCGAAATTAACATCTATACGTCAGACAAAGTTCTGTCGGAGAGCACTGAATGCGGGCGCTAACCGTATTTCTTATCATATTTTTCAATTGATGAACATTGAGGCGTACATTGTAGTGTTGTTGATTTGGGTCCAAGTTCGTGTTAATTGTGTTAAAGACGGAATGTTAGAAACCACACCACACCTTTTAAGGAAACTATATTTGTTATAAATTTGACGCACTAACTATTTGGATGAAAAGTTACAGTTCAAAAGAATGTTGAATTAAGATTGCAACATCATGCTCAAGTATGTTTTAAGACACTAAGACTCCTATTTAAATACGAATCAGAAGTTTGATAAGGGTAAAAGAAAATTTCTTCACTAAAATAGCTGCATCATGATAAATATAGAATATTAAGAAGATGAATTTTTAAAAACTGCGATTAAAACTTAATTTTACGAAATTACACTTCAACTAAACTAATAACTTTATAACAATTTCATAAACAGATTTGCTGTTGTCACACGAACCACCCATACCATGCAATGGCCTGTTATTTGTTAGCAGTTTGTAAATGAGTACCGAGTATACATGTACATTTTAAAATGATAATTGTCTTATACCATATTAATTTACCAACTATATTCTTCTCGTTTTGGGTCCGTCGACATAATGACAAAAGATATCACATTTGAGTTTCCAAGCATACTTCAGCAATGACGTGTTAGCTTTATTATATTTATTTTTGTGTATTGTTCAATTTTAATGAGACGAAACATTGATTGTCTTTGTTGAGAACACAGTGTAACGAGGTTATTATGTTAAAACTATTGTCAAAGATATGTATTATAACGAATTGAATCACTATCTCTTTCTCAATTACATACCTACAATGGCAACTACATGAACACATCACAACGCATCTTTGGGTATGTGGTAATACAATATAAGCAGATGAGAGGTCTTTATAAATACCTGAATGTTGATCTTAAGTATAATTTAGTATATAATAAACAGAGGACAAATGTTGTGACAAACGTTGAGCATGATTGATAAAATAATACGTTACTTGATAAAACATGTTTTTATTAAAATACCTTTTTTTGCTTATTGATATTTCTTAATTTTATTTTTTAATGTGTTGGTCGTCTTGATGTGCAGATAGAGTTTTAATATCTTACTGTTACATGTCTTAAAACGACCAGTAACGCAGGAAACGGTAGACGTTGATAGCTTACTGGTGACTACCATATCAGTAAGGTTTTTTGTCAGCGGTAAGGAAACATTGGTAGCTTTGGAAGGGCGTCTCTGAGTTTACCGTGGACGTCAACATTTACCAACGATTTCTATACCCTATATATGTGGCATGTTAGGACGGAAGGTAACCTTACACGTTGCTCTGTGTGTGACTCTGCAGTAGACTCGCACTATCAAGTTTCTTAAGTGAAAGTGCAGAGATGCTGATTGTTGTCGATAGGTTTGCAAAACAAATATGTGCTTAATTGTTTGCAAAATGTAATAACTTCTCGACGGAGTGTAGAGCAGATGTCCACTTATTCTAAATGTCATTAATACATTTTTGCCAGCTGAGAGGTTTTGATGAGGTCGCTGTAGATACGTTTGAATCCAAGTTGACCATAAACACGTTGGCGTATCGTGGTACTATCTTGTTACCATTGACTTGTAAGTAGTGTTCCGCATTGCGTAATACATCGCTCAGCGTGAGAACAAGCCCCATCAGTGCCATCAGGCAATCTGTGGAATGATGTTTTGTTTTCCGTGCTCCACACAGCTTGACAGGCTAAGATACTCTCCTCGTGTATAAAGGATTAAACGTCAATAATGACCAATATACAGGTAATATATTCAGGAAGATTACCACAATGTGTTTAATTAAGATGTTCTGTGTTGTCTGTCTAGTTAGATGATAATCACTGCACGTTAGGCCTCAGGTGAAAGTCAATGTACTTCAATATCTGTCTAGTTAGATGATAAGCACTGCACATTAGGCCTCAGGTGAAAGTCAATGTACTTCAATGTCTGTTGGATGGCCGATCGAACTGTTGAAAGGTCTACCAGGATTATCATTCATTGACAGCAGACAATTCACCTTAACAAAAAAGTCAACTTAAAAAAGCAAGCAATGTCCTTAGTACTTGTAATAATTAAGGATGAATCATTGATATGCAAAACTATACAAAAAAATATTAAAGATGTAAGCATATTAACATGAGGTAATGGTAGCTTTAAAACGAAATTTAACAAGCAGTATTTTGCTACGTCGATTATATAAGACAGTAAAAGGGACCACTTGAATGTCTTCCGACGTTATAGGTCGTGTTTATTAAAGGTATGTTAGTAGCGGCATTTCATGCTTATCGTGTAATTCGTCTCAGCTTCCAACTTCTTAGTATAAATATGTATACTGTGATTGGAAAATGAGAATATCCAAACCTGCATGGAGAATCTATACTGATATTTTATAATATGGCGAGGGAATAACAAATTCGTTTTAAAGTTTTGTTTATAACAAATGCAAAATCAATACTCTTCGAGAAATATATCTTTCTGTAAGAGACAAGCTAAACATATGATTAAGGAATATTTCACCAGATCGTATCTCTATCTGTAATAGACACTCTTAACACATGATAAAGGAATACTCGTCCAGAATAGTATAAGACTCTTTCATGCCCAGGGGTGTAGGATAGCGAAATTCCACCCGAGGGATTTTCAAATTTGGTAAAACCTGAGGCTTTCGGTAAATATATAATAAAAGGTTTTAATTTCATCACGTCGCCTTTTCCACATTGCGGCATCGGAGAGGTCCAAATTCGTGACGTCACGTCATTGTTTAGCCATTGTGACGTCACGTCTCGTGAAATGGGGTGTAAGATGGACATTTCTTCAACCATTTCTAACCTTGGAAAGCTCTAGCTTACACACAGGTAAATGAGAGAAATATCTATCCTGTAACAGACACGATTAACAAATGATAAAGGAATACTCAACCAGAAAATGTATCTATCTGTTAAAGACACGCTTAACAAATTATTAAGTATTTCTCCTCCATTATATATATTCATGTTTACATATGCAAGACCACACACTTGTGTTTTTCTAACGAATCAGAAAATACGAGTTTATTGCGTTGCGCACAAGTGAATATATACGTCCGTGATCAGTAATGTTCGCCTAGAAAGTTCATTTTGGACTCGATCGAGCCAAGCAGCGTGAATTTTGTTCTACGGGCTCACCTCAAAAGTCCATACCAACTAAATAATTTGAAAGCTCCAAACCTGGAAAGTAAGCACACACGAATATGTTATGCAGTAAACAAAGGCTGACCATATACATTAACCAAGTGAGTATACATTCCTTGTTACTGCAATATGAGTCAGTGTCTTTCCACAAAAGTATCACACTAGAAAACCCATAAAATAACTTTCAGATACAGTTGTTTCAATTAACAACGATCGATTATTGAAAAGCTGGATTACTCAATCAGCTTAAACGTATTGGTTTGTATATATATTATATAGCCGTAACAAATCCTAGTTACAACATCTCCATTAGGTACACCATCCAGAGCATGTTCTTTCCCGCCAAAATAGCTATGACTGTTTTTGGTAGAACGACAGGTCGACTGCTATACAAAACAGTACCATCAGTCATCAACATAAGGAAATCTAAGTTCCCTACTAATAATACAACAATGGGTATGTCTACAATGTAACACGTCGAGTATGTCTACAAGGTAACACACATATAATGTTTATAATGTAACAGACACAGAATGTCTACAATGTAACACACCGAGTATGTCTACAATGCAACACACATATAATGTTTACAATGTAACAGACTCAGAATGTCTACAATGTAACCCTCCGAGTATGTCTACAATGTAACACACATATAATGTTTACAATGGAACAGACACAAAATGTCTACAATGTAACACACAGAAACTGTTCTACAATGTAACACACAGATAATGCCCACAATGTTAAACGCAGAGATAGTCTGCAATGTAACACACATATAATGTTTACAATGTAACAGACACAGAATGTCTACAATGTAACCCTCCGAGTATGTCTACAATGTAACACACATATAATGTTTACAATGTAACAGACACAAAATGTCTACAATGTAACACACAGAAAATGTTCTACAATGTAACACACAGATAATGCCCACAATGTTAAACACAGAGATAGTCTGCAATGTAACACACATATAATGTTTACAATGTTACAGACAGATAATTTCTACAATGTTACACACAGATAATGCCCACAATGTTACACACAGAAAATGTCCACAATGTTAAATACAGAGAAAGTCTGCAATAAAACACACCGAGAATGTCAACAATTAAAAACACACCGAGAATGTCTACAATGTAACACACAGAGAATGCATTCGATGTTACACACTGGAATGTCATCAACGTAGCATACATAGAATGTCTACAATGTAGCACACCGATAAGGTCCACAATAATACACACAAAGAATGTCTACAATGTAACACACAGAGAATGTCCACAATGTAACAGACCGAGAATGTCCACAATGTAACACACAGAAAATGTCCACAATGTACCACACCGAGAATGTCTACAATAATACACACAGAGGATGTCTACAATAATACACACAGAGAATGTCTACAATGTAACACACAGAGAATGTCGTCAATAATACACACAGATAATGTCTATCTTGTAACACACACAGAGTGTCTACAATGGAACACACAGAGAATGTCCACAATGTAACACAAAGAGAATGTATGCAATGCACCACACAGATAATGTCTACAAAGCAGGACACCGAAAATGTCACCACTGTAACACAGAGAATGACTAAAATGTAACACACATAGAGTGTCTACAATGTTACACACAGATAATGTATACAATGTAACAAAGACAATGCCAACAAGGTAACACACAGACAATGCCAACAAGGTAACACACAGAAAATGTCTAGAATGTAACACACAGAGAATGCCTACAATAATACACACAGAGAATGTCCACACTACATTGTATTACACGCAGAGAATGTCTACAACGTAACACACCGAGAATGTCCAAAATATTACACACAGAGAATGTCTACAATGTAACACACCGAGTTTATCATTTGTATAGCTAGTTTTTGATAATTGATGATCGGGGGTATATTTACTTTAACATATCAACAGTAAAGATTATTTCTGAAGATCCCATGTATCCTACAAAGCTATAATATGTGTTTCAATAGCCTCAAACAAAATGATTTATACAACATTATATTCTCAATAGTAATGATCAAGATTAAAAGGTACAAGCAGAGGGTAGATACAATGGGATATTTAAAACTAGACGAGCACGTATAAAGTTACACTACATTATATAACAATACTAAACCGTTCAATATACCAACGCCAGTATGTGTCTATCACCAGAGAAGAAGGAAGTAAAAAACGCTTCATTGGTTTGTAGTCGAAATAAGGCAGGAGAGCATGACAGGGACGTTCTTGATTCTATTCTCCGGATTTATAAATCTTGCAGGTTTGGTGTAAAAAGTTACGTTAAAACACATGTTATGATAGTTAATATTTTAACGTTCCTTCACAGGTACCTGTATTTCAATGGGAATGAGTTATTAGTATTGATTATATTATTACGGCAAATCATTTAATATATATCCTTTTGATTCTAACAAAGAGTCGTGTATACATATTCGATCCTAACGCAGGATCGTACTCACTTAATGTTAACACAGGGTCGTCGATTCGTAATGAACTGGATTTTATCACAGATACGTGCATACTAGACTTTAAGATAACGATTTGCCCAAGGACGTCGTGTACCATGGAGAGTAGCCACACCATAATTGCGAAAAACAAAGTGATTATATTACAAGTTGTAGTTGTTTTTTCATGTGTAATCGTAGAAAATGTACCTGCGTGTAGGCCACTTTAATTTAATTTCAACAAATCTAATTGATAATCAGTTGTATTGAACATCAGGCTTAAAGCCTATATTTGTTAACTTGGAATTGATAGCAATGGAAATTATGTAATATACGGTAAGATAAAGTTTGTCATATATTTAAACATTTGACATAATATTCTTTTTTTTTGTATTTTGATTATAAATTTTGTAACGATAAACAAATAACTTCATACTGCTATATACAAATGCAGCAGAGGAAATCAGTTCGGATCGCCCCGAGTTTCTGACATAAAGTCCATAGGTTCATCACCATATAGTATTCCACTCAGGAATGGATTGCACACGCATCCCCCATCCGCACATGTAAAACGTACATGTTATTTCTTCTATTCTTATGAATGATGAAATCCAAAATGTGTGAAGCAAAACAGATTTTACAAGTATATCAATCAGCTATACTTCTCACAAGTCATCAGTGTTCATCAAGATGCACACCTCTGCAAGACATATTATCATATTTAATACCAGATACGTGCATACTAGATTTTAACATAACGATTCACCCAAGGACGTCGCGTTACGTACACGTACACGTGATAGAGTAACAACAACAAAGATTTCAAACAAAAAAGTGATTATAATTCAAATTGTAGTTGTTTTTCCTGTGAAGTCGTAGATAATTTACCTGCGTGAAGGCCACTTTTCATGTAGGCCTTATGACTTCGCTCATTTTGATGAAGAAAGTTGTAAATACAATGTATACTAAAACTCAACGTAAGGTCATTAATTTATCAAGTGAAATATTAACTGAAGATTATATTAAAATCGTTGCTCCTTACCTATGCTACTTTAGTGTTAGGAAATCTGGAGAAATTCTTTATGGTAAAATAGGAGAAAATTCAGATAGATTTCTCTGGGATATTTTAAAGAAACAAAATCAGATTTTTTGACCCCATTATTTGATAACATGGTAATTTGATTTAAAACTAGCACAATTAACAGAAAAATAGGCATTTTGTCTGTCTACATGTATTTTCCGTTCTTTATTTTTCACAATTTTATCTTTTATGCAATTATGTTTTTGTTGCAAGTAAAACAATTAACATTTTTAAAACGCATAATAGGCATCGATTTCAATATTTTCACATGGCTTCAATCACTTGTCATCATATACAAAACGTCCGAAAAGCAATTTAAAGGGAACATCCCTTACAATTTATGTATCGCTCCTGAGACGTTTTACAAACTGTTTTACACTTTTCAGGTGGAGGTTACTCTGCGTTGGTTTCCGGTACCAAAGCTAATGAAGGTAGTGTGCTCTTCTACAATGGGACGTCCTGGTACGGTATGTGTAAGGACGGCTGGGACGACCAGGACGCGGCGGTGTTGTGTCGGATGCTGGGATACACAGGGTAAGGTTTTTATTTAAAACCCATTAGCTGTATTTATGTTGACTCCTGCGTACGTTCACGACCGATACACCACATTCGGTTCAGAAAGAGGATGTGGTGTCGACTGATATCTTTTTAAAAGGTTCCCCAGACCAGTTGCATTGGTTTCGAGTCGACTAGGTTAATTTTTATTATGCTTTAAATGTGCCTTGATTCGTTGTCACTGCGATGGCTCTAACATTGACGTCGTGACATACAGTTTCTTGTAATGCAAAACACCTGGTCTAATTCTGCTTGAACCAGTTCAAGGATTCCAACGGAAATCATGCTACTGGTTATATATATTACCCCAGTTACATTGATTTTTGGTTCGAATTGCGGTTTTGCATCATCTTGATTATTTTTTAGCACTGGCGCTTCAGCTATCACATATTCAACTGCAAGTACCAGCTTGACCATATGGCCACGGAAGTTTGATTGCGTTGGAAATGAAACGTCCCTACAGGATTGCCCCACTAGTGATAATGACGCCCTTCTATGTGAGGCTAACGTCACAATGAAAGCTTCCTGTTCAGAGGGTAAATTTATTCTACATTTACACAAACGACTCTCAATAACAAGGTTTATGTTGTCAAATTGGCGAAGTGCCATACATAAGTTTTGGCTAGGTCAGAAACATCTCAAACAGTTAATTTGAGTGTCACTGGTAACCAAATCCTTTCGTGCATATTAAACGTCAACTGAGCTTTAATATTGCCGTATGTAAACAAATAACAGGGTATCACAATTCCACAGCCACCTAAATATACTTTTGCATCATTTCAGCTCCTGTACCGAACAACTTTTTCATCTTATCCTTTGGGACAGCTATAGCAAGAATGGATCTTACATCAACTAGTCTGACGTTGGTCCAGTCCGGGACAGTGCAACGTGCAATAGCCGTCACATATGATGGCACAAACAATAGTGTTATCTGGACGGACGTTAGTTTGAATCAGATCGCGAGATGTGAACTCAATGGAGGGGACATTACCGTGATTTATCAGGCTGGAAACGGTAGGATTTGCAATTTGGACGTAACTATATCTCAAACACTAACAGGATGCAAGTATTCAAGTAACGTTTACACATTTTGGTACATTTTTGGTACACGATTGTATTTGGTTTAAACAGAGATTTAACTCCATCGTTTAAGTGTGTGTCTTCTCATCTAATTCAAATAGAACTAATAGTTAGAAATAAAGAACTAAACGGACTAGCGAATTATCAGTGCACAAATATTTATTACATGACTAAATTAAGTATATCTAATTTGGATAAAAGTTTTACCTGATTGGTTGATGTAAAAAATGTGATATATTAAACATATAAAACGAGGATAAGAAAAAAGTCATAAAGGAAAGTCAAATTTTAGGAACCTGAAAACACAATAAAGATTGTATTATCGGCTCGATTATTTCATTGTTAGTTCGCCTTTGAACGTAATTTGATAACCCTTATATGGAGAATTTAAAATAAGAACGTAATTATACAACAGTTAAGAAAAGAATACACCTGCTGTTACCAACTGCACGTATAGTAGGAGGCGACCAATGTGGTTCCACTGCAGAATGGGGGATTTGCTTCTGTGCCCTCTTCTTGGGGACATAAAAACGTCCAAAATAAATCTGCTGCATCGATTGCAACATGTGGGATCTTTATCTTTCTACTTTTAACTACTTTTAACTACTTTTTTGTTTTCTAGCGCTTCACTTGGCAATACCTTATTTCTGGCTTAAATGTTGAGCGTTCGCCCAGTTGAGGAACGCAATGGGATCTGGCGCCATGCCGGAAGAGCAAAAATCTTCAAATATATTCATTTTTATTATCTGCTTAACAGTCAGCTTTAGGGGCAATGACAACAGCTGGTAAACCCGTTTTCAGTATAATGTGACCGGGCGGGATGCTGTGCTGGGTGCCTCCGGCATGGTATTTAAGTTAGATAGCACTATAAAGTCGGCATCAGATCCGCGCTATCACAAATAGCAAGTACACCAAGATATCGTGTATCCGGGACATATACACGCATGCATACACAACACACATGAAGGCACGTCCTTATATGACCTAAGCTGTTGATAGGACGTTAAACAAAATAAAACCAAACCAAACCAAACCAACAGTTATAGATACGCCCATCTCTCAGAGACTTATCGCTGTAACATGTATGTCATATGTATTCCCGATACATGATCGAATTTGGTTGGACATAATATTTGTAACTATTCAATGACTAATGGAGGACGTAACATCGCTATCGTCGTATGATTTAAAATCATAAATCGTCCCATATACACATATTGCCGTATCTCTATCATTAATGATAATGTTGATTCCTACTATAATATACCTTTCAGAGAGTGTGATGGACGGTATTGCCATTGACGAAGATGCCCGCTTGATATTTTACACTGACACTGGCTATGACCAAATCGGAGTAATCAACGCAGACACATTCACCAGAACAGTACTTATCAACACAAATCTTGATGAACCGAGGGCAATTGTGTTGGATAAAAATACTAGGTAACTTCTTATTAATTTATAATATGAACGTTTTGTTAAATATCATTTCTCCATAAACTCATTCAACGCGATATATTACGAAAACGTTCAATGCAGGCAATGGAGATGGCATTTCAGTGACACAGTTTTATTCTTCACAGAGAGATTTATTGGACGGAATGGGGTACCGACGCTGTCCTAGAGAAAGCTAACTATGACGGGTCTAATCGACAAGTCATTGTTAATACTGCCCTATTATGGCCAAATTCTCTGAACTTAGATGGTACGTATATCTTTATCTGTGTGGTTTACTTATAGACTGTTAATTGTGCTAGAAAAATTACTACGAATTTGATCAATTCAAAATGTTGCCACCAATCCTTCTTTGTTGAAAAGGAAATGCCTCGTTTTGGGTAACAAATGATGATTACTGATGTAACAATTGTAATAGTGTGTAAATATCAACAAAAAATAGCACTAGTCGAGTGTCGTACATATATATTTTGCAGGAGACGTTCTCTTTTGGTGTGACGCAGGTTATGATTTATATGAAAAAGTATTCACAAATGGTACAGGAAGGACTACGTTAGTAACAATCATAGGAGGCCATTGCTTTGATTTCACAACATTCGAGAAGAATATTTATGTCAACGATTGGGGGCATTCGTAAGCATTAAACTCCGTCTGTCTGTCTGTCTGCCTTAATTCCTGCCTGCCTGCCTTCCTGTCTGTCTATCTATATATCTGTCTGTCTGTATGTCTGTCTGTCTGTCTGTCTGTGGTTGTGCCTTTGTCTTTCTGTCTCTGTCTGTGACTGTGTTCTATCTGTCTGCCCGTCCGTTTTTTGTCGATATATCTGTCTCTGTCTCTCTGTCTCGATCTCTTTATCCCTTTTTTTCACAATCATAAAATCACTAGCAAATTATCTTTGTACTGTTGACTTTTTACTTTATTTTAATGTTTGAAAACAGGCAATTAATCCGTATACATAATGAAGATGGGGAGGTATCCTCGTTCGGTCCAACACTTGCTCAACGATTTGGTATTTTCCACCACTTGAAAGGTAATAAAAAATGTATTTGCTAACTGAATTTCTTTGATATTTATATTATCTATAGCTAAGAAGACTTATTTATGTAATACATACCTATTATCGATCAAGTGAAAACCATTTGTTTACTTTATGTTTTTTGCACGTGATTGAAGTAGCACCACAGTTCCTTATGAAATAGTCAAAACAGAGCCAATGATTTCACATGTATAATGGGTATAGATATTATACAATTGGATCGATCTCTTACAAACAGAAACGAAGCTATAACGCCAAAAGGTATACAGGAGAGACTCATTTCTATAGCTCAATAGTCTACAAATAGTGTTCCAGTTTTGTTTGACTAAACGGCCCATTATAGGATCATTCAGGGTCACTACATGGTGCAGTAGTATTGAGGACAAAGTCCAAGTCAGGCCATTTCATGAAAGAGCGGACGGGTCGTCAAAGGGGTATATTAAGTCCCGATTATACATGCAATACTTTTCTCGGGCTTATAGTTTTTCTTGAGACAAGAACATTGTCCATCGATTCAAGATAAACAAAATTATTTCCAGCATGTGTTTACTTACAGCAGAAACTGTTGATTCTAATGACATGTCTACGTCAGCATTAACCACTGGTGTTTTGGTAGGAATAGTTCTGTCAGCAATCATTGGCACAGCCCTTATTGTCAATCTGACCACTACCTTGTAAGTAATCCCTTCAATTTTTACCTTTACTTTTGTAATGAAGACAATATACAGAAAATGCTGAAAAGTATTGCCTGTGACAATGTGTGATTGATAATTTAAAATGAAATACATGTACATTGGGTATGTAACTTTTAACTAATCTGTATCATCCATTCCTAGGAAGTCATAATAGACTATATGTTTAATCATTTCATAAAAGTACTGATTTGAAAACATCTAATGATATGTTAATGACGAAAACTGGACTTTTTCTAGGGAAACGAGATAGTTCTTCACAAGCAAAGGGATTGTCCTTCTGAAAACATACATATTCTACATGTAAATTTCCAACTGATCCTATTTACCGAATACGAAGTATTATCATTGCTCATTACTTGAATGATTATAACATTTATTTCACGATGTAGACGAAAGCTTTATTTTGTAATATTGTTGTCGTTGGAATAGCCATCTGAAAGGGACTAGTGAAAATGAGATTTTCTAAACTTAAGTTATCAGGAAGATATCTAATATCTAATTTGTTAATTAATATGCCCAAACGATTTAATTGCAGATACTTAAAATATAGAACAAACAACAAAGTAGTACCTGACGTTAATGTCCGCTTCACCAATGTTGGAGATGATGTAACAGTATCTACTCCAGCAGGTAATTATCACCTCGTGTATTGGACAACCTGCTTGGTCTTTTTATAATTTCGGACGGCAAGGAATAAGTTACAGTATGAATTATAATGGTAGAGATGTAAATGTGTTAATCATTAATTATGAAGTATATCATCTATATTGGTCCTCAATTTAACATCAGATGTTTGAAATATGTGGATTTTGTTTCTCTCCTTTATCGTCTGCCAAAAAACAACAAGAGAATACCGAAATGTCAACAAAACCATAATCCAAACCCAAAATCGAAAAAACTAGGTAAAAAATACTAACAAAGGAAAGATTAGCATAGAAAACCTTGAATGATATAAGAATAAGACCAGGTGTTCAGGAAGGGTAAGCTTCAACGATGACACCCACTGTGTCAATGTAAGTCGCATCCACGTAGTGTCACGTCCTGAAATTGAGAACTCGGGCAGTGACAACAAAACCAGAAGACACTATAATGAGCATAACTAAAAAACATCGACCCTCATATCACAAACAAAGAAATAGCACATTCCCCTGGAATATCCCAATGGCGACTATAAAACGTAGTCATGGTCTTAATCAACCTGCATATTTGCAAACCCTGTGTTGAAATTCTTTTGTCCCGTAAGCAGTTGACGTCTTTGGCGGAAATCAACTGTGTCATTTTAATAATTTCATATAAGATATGGTATCATATAACAAATCATGTTTGTTATTATGGTGCACCATTGTTCAAGACATCGATACTAGTTGACATAGTTATATTGTCACTGAGTCAGAGTCATAACCATATGATTATGTTCATTATGATAACGGACCTTGGCTGTGATATTACAACAATTCTAGGTTATACATGTGCGATGTATTACCCTAAAGGGAACATGAGATGAAGGGATCTTTTGACACTTAATTGACCATCTATATGGACGTACTGTCGACCGAGAAAGCACATGTTAAAATCTGGTATTACAGAAACGATTTAATGATTATGAAAAAACGTATATATCAGGTACTATGATATTTTTATTTTTTATTTATTTATGCAGGATTGAGCCATGAACCCCCAAAACCGGTTCGGCTACCATCTAGGCCACCACCAGGTAAGAGTTTTACCAATTCATTTAAATCCAAATTCCGATTTTATGACTGAGTCCAATATTATAGAAGTAGCTTTGTTGTCGTTAACAAAGACTCAAATAGTTCATGTATCCCTTTATCACTTCCTTCATTCTATATTGTCAACAAAAGCTCGGTGATGTGCTGCATGTACTGTTTTGGTATAATATCACACATATTCTTAAATATATATATATCAGGGAATGTGATCGAATATAAGATACAACTATTATAAATACTTCTGAAATACGTGACGACATTTAGCATGTAAGTGTAGGAAAATATGCTGTATTTATTTCTATGGGGTACATTTTAGATGGTTAACATAGTATATATCGAGGTTGTCTCCCCGCTGGCGTACGTTTGTGTCTTATACGTGGATTGATTTTATCATAATCCATACGTCAATATGAGAATATATATATAGATAAAAAATTAAAAGACAAGAGTTTCTTTGAATTCCCTAGCGCTTTCTCCTCTCTAGAGGGGGAATGGTTTATTCATGTTGACAGGTTGTCCATCAATAAACCTTTCCCTTGATGAACCTCTAAAGAGGAGAACGCGCTAGGGAAGTCAAACAACCTGTCAACATGAATAAACAATTCCCCTGATGAATCTTTAATTTCATATGTATATAAACACATTGACTTAAAAAAAAAAACAGCCAAATCCTATGCAAGTCCTTTCTTTAGGGTATTTAGGAGTTCATATACATCATATTGGTATAGTGTAAGGATAGCCGTGATACTCTACATTGTAATTATGAAACTAATCATCGTTTCTCTATTTCAGACGCTTTTAAATTCCTTAAATGAAAGTCAAGAGGATAGAACAGAATTATGTGCAAAACATGCTGCTTAGCAAAATGAATATTGATGTGAAATATGTTAAGTATATAATTATATAAAATGAGAATTTCCAATTGTGTTAGCGCGGTGACATGTTCGGACACTGAAGCTAATTTTGTTGACAGTACAATCTTAAACTGAAATAACTAAGCATCTGTACGGTAAAATGGTCATTTATTACAGGTAGATTGTGATATTGGTGTGATGGATGTGAAGTAAACCTATATAATCCAGTGATACTTGTCATTTATAGATGATTATTTTATGACTGATTGTGGCCTTTCTGTTGTCCGACTGTGTGGTCTTAACTTGGCCTATACAATTAACCTGCTAGTGTTAACACTTTTTTTTCATAGCACTTTTGTTATGTGAAGCTGTGATATAGTATTGAAATCAAAGTTCTACAAGCAATTGCATTGAGGTGTCATTAGTGTAAGGTTTGCGATTATCAAAGACATTTTTCTGCTTAAATATTTAAAAATCCATGTTCATTTTTTATTTCAATACGAGAACTGTTTCGTCTTTCATCTTTTTCATCCCAATGAGAATAAATATTTTATATAGATAATGCAATTGTTTTTAATATTATTCTTATAATTGTATCTAGTGTAAGCTTATGCTACATATTATCAATAATATATGGTTGCATTTACATAACACTGGCCCTAAACACCTGTCTGGGTTTTCTATTTTCCGTTTCGAGGGAGAGGGGAATGTATTATTGAAACGTTTAAACATATAACTACATGAATACAACTATGTTGTATTACTGTTAAATAAATTAACAACCGAAAAATACAAAAAAAAAAGAAAAGAAGAAGACATAGTTAAGTGTTTAAACTAGCCTAGTAGGAGTCTCCTATCACGCTTAACACGTGTCTTCATGTTATTGGTGTATGGGTTTATTTTCAGCAATTTGAAAAGGATGGACAAGTGATCAAACAATGCAATACTTTCCGATGCTCTTTTACAGCATAAATATATAAAGATCATGATTGTTTGATTTTATCATGATGTATTTACACTGTCTCGCCAAACTAAAGCGAATAAACGACTTCATTCATATGGAGAAACCATCGGTTTCGTCTTGTTAAACCTTTTTGTAAACTGCACGTATTTTTAATTCTGATTATTATTTAGAATTTGTTAGGTATGGCTTGAAAGTTGCCTTTAATCCGGCAAAAACAATATAAATATTCAGTCTTTTGTTGAAAACTGTACTAAAATGAGGCATTTTTCAGTACAATTTACGAATATTGGATGTGTCAGTCTTCAAACTGCATGTGTCCTACACCAAGCACATGCAACATCTCAAGGAAGGTCCATGTTTCATATCTTACTCTTTATAAAAATACACTATATAAAACTCAGTTGAAAATCCAAATTTTAATGTAAGAGTAGTGTCTTGCAGTTTTTGAGATAAAATGCGTGTATATTCTCCTGAGTATCAGCACGTTAATGGTTTCTTATCTCACAGGCTTAATACAGATACGGTAGGATACATTTAAGGGTCTTAACTGATACAGTAAGGATAAGGTTAGTCATATTGTGTACATTTGCCTTTTTCTACACTTACTGTAATGGAGTTGTTATGAAAATGACGGGTTATACCATAGGTGTGTGATCATTTTGTAGAACTCGCCTTACATTGCCTTAGTAGACTGTTGTCCAGAGAGTTTCTGATGTATCTTACAATGAATTTGCATGAGGTAATCTGCGATCAACCGATATTCTACTTTGCTTATATGCTAATGCAGTTTTCTGCGAATATTGAATGTCTGAAACAACGTGCGCTACATGTTTTTCTTTCCATCCCTCTCATGTTGTACGAACTTTATGAACGTGTTGGAGTGTTGAAAAAACACCGTTTACTTTAAGTAACATGAGACCCGGATGGTCTTTACATATCTGTGACATAGACAAAGATGAACACGAAAGGGCGTTATCTGAGTATTAACATGCTGGCTTATCTTATATAGCTGTAGTTACCCGCTTCAGAACACATTATAGTCGTCCGTGTTCTCCTTTCTTATCTTATATAGTTGTAGTTGTTTTTGTGCACTCAGTGTTAAGCATTCAGCATCATCAATAACAATACCGTGACAGTGTGCGTTTTCATTATTATTTGTTTATGATTGCTATTGCCAAGTAAATAATAATTATATAAATACCATTATGAATATATTTTCCATAAAAAAAAAACTTTCTTAATATTTTTGTTTTGTTTTTTATTTTTATTTTTATTTTTTGTAGCGTTATTCTATATATAATATATATCATATTATGCATTAAGAGAACATGATATATTTTGGCATTCCTTTTCTTTATACTTAATTATGTTTTCCAATACATATAATGATTATAATGTGAAGTATGTTTTAAATCACATATATAGCTGTAGTTACTCGCTTCAGAACACATTAAAGCCGTCCGTGTTCTCCTTTGTATCTGTGTATGCATAAAGCGCTACAGCTACATGCATATATAAGCATTTACTACACGTATTTAATTCTACGGGAAATAAAATAGTTCTTTTTTACAATTTAATATGGTTGATATGTAGTTCCAATGCATATACACGAAATAGAATATTGACAAAAGCCTATTATACAACTGATCATAGTTTATCTAAGCTTACTGTTTATTACTGCCGAGTATGTTTTTATGGTAAAAGCAAATCAATTTGGTGCTCTTTTTGCCCTTGGCGATTACAAATACATATACTTGGCATCATTTGGCTCTAAATGATTATACAAACCAAACTTGGTATAAACCTCACTTCCTTATTGAATAATTCAGATATGATTAAAATTAGTTTATGACACAAGGGGAAATATGTTTCAATTCAGTTACCACCTGGGGAAGGATTTTATCTTTTGCGTGTCAGTGTTAAGAATGTAGTGTTGTTCTTACTTGTATGCTCTGTATATCGGTAGAAATTCAGTATCAGTATCACTGTCACAGATTTTCATCAAAATTATAATCATCAACCATATCTTCTATAAACCTAGATAATGCTAGGCATATATTCGCCCAAAGACTGACACCCAAAGTGATTTGCTATTATTGTATATGAATGAATTAAATTAAGGTTTCAAAATATTGAGAAATTAAATAAAAGACAGCAAGAAAAAACTGAACCCTGTAGTTTTTAAAAAGAATTAGATTAAGGAGGATGTGTCTAACATTAAATTATGATACCAAGCCACACAAAACAGAGATACCGAAGATAGATTAACTTCTCAACCTATAACTCCCCAAAAAAGGATAAACACATCCAGCCATATATCACTAGCATTGATAAAAACCGCGGTAGCAGTCCCATACAGATAAACACCTCTAGCCATATATCACTGGTATTGATAGACATCGTAGTAGCACAGTCCCACAAAGATAAATACCTGTAGCCATATATAACTGGCATTGATAGACATCGTTGTAGCAGTCCCATACAGATAAACACCTGTAGCCATATATCACTAGCATTGATGAACATCGTAGTAGCACAGTCCCACAAAGAAAAATACCTCTAGCCATATATCACTGGCATTGATAGACATCGTGGTAGCAGTCCCATAAAGAAAAACACATCTAGCCATATATCACTGGTATTGATAGACATCGTAGTAGCACAGTCCCACAAAGATAAATACCTGTAGCCATATATCACTGGAATTGATAGCCATCATGGTAGCAGTCCCATAAATATAAACACCTCTAGCCATATATCACTGGCATTGATAGACATCGTGGTAGCACAGTCCAATAAAGATAAACATCTCTAGCCATATATAACTGGTATTGATAGACATCGTAGTAGCACAGTCCAACAAAGATAAATACCTCTAGCCATATATCACTGGCATTGATAGACATCGTGGTATCAGTCCCATAAATATAAACATCTCTAGCCATATATCACTGGTAGTGATAGACATCGTGGTAGCAGTCCCATTAAGAAAAATACCTGTAGCCATATATAAATGGCATTGATAGACATCGTGGGAGCACAGTCCCATAAAGATACACAACTCTAGTCATATATAACTGGCATTGATATACATCGTAGTAGAACAGTCCCATAAAGATACATACCTGTAGCCATATATCACTGGTATTGATAGACAGCGTGGTAGCACAGTCCCATAAAGATACACAACTCTATTCATATATCACTGGCATTGATATACATCGTAGTAGCACAGTCCCATAAAGATACACACCTCTAGCAATATATCACTGGTATTGATAGACATCGTAGTAGCAGAGTCCAACAAAGATAAATACCTCTAGCCATATATCACTGGCATTTATAAACATCGTGGTAGCACAGTCCAATAAAGATAAGCATCTCTAGCCATATATAACTGGTATTGATTGGCATCGTAGTAGCACAGTCCAACAAAGATAAATCCCTCTAGCCATATATCACTGGCATTTATAGACATCCATCGTAGTAGCACAGTCCAACAAAGATAAATCCCTCTAGCCATATATCACTGGCATTGATAGACATCGTGGTATCAGTCCCATAAATATAAACATCTCTAGCCATATATCACTGGTATTGATAGACATCGTAGTAGCAGAGTCCAACAAAGATAAATACCTCTAGCCATATATCACTGGCATTTATAGACATCCATCGTAGTAGCACAGTCCAACAAAGATAAATACCTCTAGCCATATATCACTGGCATTTATAGACATCGTGGGAGCACAGTCCAATAAAGATAAACACCTTTAGCCATATATCACTGGCATTGATAGACATCGTAGTAGCAGTCCCATAAAGATAAACATCTCCAGCCATATATCACTGGTATTGATAGACAGCGTGGTAGCACAGTCCCATAAAGATAACCACCACTAGCCATATATCACTGGTATTGATAGACATCGTAGTAGCAGAGTCCAACAAAGATAAATACCTCTAGCCATATATCACTGGCATTTATAGACATCCATCGTAGTAGCACAGTCCAACAAAGATAAATACCTCTAGCCATATATCACTGGCATTGATAG